TATTCTCTCTAGGAGGGGTGGAGCACAATACTCCTTTCCCCCTGCCCACTCCCTCCCCCTTCCCCTGAATTTAGTGACTCCTTTCCAAAGCACAGAGCAAAGGTCAGCACAGTGGCTCACATCTGTAATCCTAGCACTTTTGGAGGCTGAGGAGGGAGGATCACTTGAGCCCAGGAGTTGGAGGCTGTGGCAAGCTATGATCACAGCACTGCACTTCACCCTGGGCAACCTAGTGAGATCCTGTCTTTACAAGAAATAGAAAAATTAGCATGGTGGCACATGCCTGTAGTCTCAGCTACTCTTGTCCTACCAAGGTAGGAGGAGCACTTGAGCCCAGAGTTCAAGGCTTCAGTGAGCTATGATCACCAGCCTGGGTGACACAGAGAGACCAAGTCTCTAAACAAAACAAAAAACAAAGTACAGAATGTGGAAACAGGAAAGCAGTTACTTTACAAGGGAAAATCCCAGCACACCGTACGTCGACTGAGTGAGAAAGGTGAACACCACAGATGATGTCACATGGTCGTCACGTACCCCCATATGACGTGATGAAGGCTTTGCACCTCTGTGGTACTTGTCTCCTATACCCCAGCTGAGAAAACCAGATAAACTCAAATTGAGGACTTCCTATGACACACCTGACCAGTAGATCCAAAATGTCACCCAAGATAAGGAAGTCTGAAATTGTCACAGGGACGAAGGAGACATAATAGCTAAGTGCAGTATGGTCTCCTGGTGGGACGCTGAAACAGGAAAAGGCCACTGGAATAAACGGACAAAATCTGAATCAAGCGTGTGGTCCATTTGAGAGTAATATGCCTGCCAGGCCTGGTGGCTCACACCTGTAATCCCAGCACTTTGGGAGGCCAAGGCAGGTGGATCACGAGGTCAGAAGATTGAGACCATCGTGGTCAACATGGTGAAACCTGTCTCTACTAAAAATACAAAAATTAGCTGGGCGTGGTGGTGTGCATCCTGTAGTCCCAGCTACTCAGGAGGCTGAGGCAGGAGAATCACTTGAACCAGGGATTCGGAGGTTGCCGTGAGTTGAGAATGTACCACTGCACTCCAGCCTGGTGATAGAGCAAAACTCTGCCTCGAAAAAAAAAAAAAAAAGAAGAAGAGTAATATGCCTAATGCTGGTTTCTTGGTTTATTAGTTTTAACAAATTACCATGGTGATGTAAGATGTCAGCAACAGAGGAAACTAACCAATGGCTTACGCCTGTAATCCCAGCACTTTGGGAGGCTGAGGCGGATGGATCACCTGAGGTCAGAAGTTTGAGACCAGCCTGGCCAACATGGTAAAACCCTGTCTCTATTAAAAATACAAAAATTAGCCAGGTGTGGTGGCGCATGCCTGTAATCCCAGCTACCTGGGAGTGCTGAGACATGAGAATCACTTGAACCCGGGGGGCAGAGGTGGCAGTGAGCCGAGATCACGCCATTGTATTCCAGCTTGGGTGACAAGAGCAAAACTCAATCTAAAAAAAAAAGAAAAGAAAGAAAAAATCTCTCTACCTCTATATTTTAAAGGCTGGGTCTTGCTCTGTCACCCAGGCTGGAGTGCAGTGGTGTGATCTGGGTTCACTGCAGCCTCAAACTCCCAGGCTCAAGTGATCCTTCCCCTTCAGCCTCCAGAATAGTTGAGTCTACAGGTGTGTACTAATTTTGTTATTTTAAATTTTTTTGCAGAGATGGAATCTCACTATGTTGCTCAGGTAGGTCTTAAACTCCTGGCCTTAATTGATACTCCCTCCTCAGTCTCCCAAAGTGCTGGGATTAAATGAGCCACGGCACCTGGTCAAAAGCCTATTTATTTATTTAGAGATGGAGTCTCGCTCTGTCTCCCAGGCTGGAGTGCAATGGCATCATCCTGGCTCACTGCAACCTCTGCCTCCTGGGTTCAAACGATTCTCCTACCTCAGCCTCTCGAGTAGCTGGGATTACGGGCGTGTGACACTGCACACAGCTAATTTTTGTATTTTTAGTAGAGATGGATTTTTGCCATGTTGCTCAGGCTGGTCTCGAACTCCTAACCTCAGTTGATCTGCCTGCCTCAGCTTCCCAAAGTGCTGGGATTACAGGCATGAGCCACCGTGCTGGCCCCAAAGCCTTTAAAAGAAATCCTCCTATAATGTTTACTGTGTGCGAGTCATTGCACTAAGTACTTTATATATGTTAACTCATTTAATCCCCCAATAATGTTATGTGGCCATTTTACGGTACCTACTTTCCAGACAAGGAAACTGAGGCACAGAAAGGCTAAGTAGCATGCCCAGCCACATACTGAGCTGACAATCAAGTCCAGGCAGTTTGCGGTTGGGGTCCACATGCAGTTCACATTTTCCTAATTCTGCAGCTGCTGCTTCTAGAGCATTTGTCATGTTAGAAGGGGGACAGGATGGAGTCAGAGAGAGAGGGGGGAAGCTGGGACTACAGGGTCAGGGCACAGCGCCAGCTCCAGGGAGACCAGAGAGAGGCACATTCCCACAGCTACGTCTGAGGCTGACTCAGGAAGGCAGGTGACTGGTCAACTGTAGGAGTGAGGGAGAGCTTAGAGAGTGGGTGGCTGAGATCTCTATGCTAAGGTGCCTGGGTGGTACCTTTCACTGGGACCAGCAGAGGGCTGGGAATAGAGGCTTGGGAGAGGTGGTTGGGGAGGGAAGATGACGATCAATATTTCTGATGAGGCAACAGAGTGACATGGGGTGGGCTTGGCCAGGACCGCCGGCTCTGCCACTCACCAGCTGTGTGACCTCAGAGATGTTACTCAATCTCTCTGGACAGGTTACAACAACTAAAATGAGGGAGAAGGCTGGGCGTGGTGGCTCACGCCTATAATCTCAGCACTTTGGGAGGCTGGGGTGGGAAGGTCACTTGAGGCCAGGAGTTTGAGACCAGCCTGGGCAACATAGTGATATCCTGTCTCTTAAAAAAATAAAATAAGGGAGAAATAACAGTACCTTTCTCATGGGTTTGTTGCTAGGGTTAAAGCAATTTTCACATTCAAAGTGCTTAGAATAGTGTCTGACACGTACTGGGATGAGAAAGGCCCAATAAATGCTGGCATAATTATTGAATTTGCACTCCTTTTCAAATGTGGGTTTTTGTTCTTGTTGGTGTTTTTTAAGAGAGTCTTCCTCTGTTGCCCAGGCTGGAGTGCAGTGGCATAATCTCAGCTCGCTGCAACCTCCGCCTCCTGGGTTCAAGTGATCCTTGTGCCTTGGTCACTTGAGTAGCTCAGATTATGGGCACACTCCACCACACCTGGCTAATTTTTGTATAGTTAGTAGAGATGGGATTTCACCATGTTGTCCAGGCTGGTCTTGAACTCCTGGCCTCAAGTGAGCTGCCTGCTTCAGCCTCCCAAAGTGCTGGGATTACAGGCGTGAGCCACTGCGCCTGGCCTAAAATGTGGGTGTAATAATAGTTATAACTATTATTTATCGAGCCCAGTGCTAGGGTCAGCTGCTCCTGCATATTAATTCACTTTAATATTCAAAGAAATCCTGTAGGGTAGGTACTGTTTTCTCGCCTATTTTTTTTTTTTTTTTTTTTTTTGAGGCAGAGTCTCCCTCTGTCACCCAGGCTGGAGTGCAGTTGTGCGATCTTGGCTTACCGCAACCTCCGACTCCCTGGTTCAAATGATTCTCCTGCCTCAGCCTCCTGAGTAGCTGGGACTACAGGCATGTGCCACCATGTCCAGCTCATTCTTGTATTTTTCTTTTTTTTTAAGATGGAGTCTTGTTCTGTTGGCCAGACTGGAGTGCAGTGGCACGATCTCAGCTCACTGCAGCATCCGACTCCCAGGTTCAAGTGATTCCCCTGCCTCAGCCTCCCGAGTAGCTGGGACTACAGGCATGCACCACCACGCCCGGCTAATTTTTTATATTTTAGTAGAGGCAGGGTTTCACCATGTTGGCCAGGATGGTCTCGATCTCCTCACCTCATGATCCACCTGCCTCGGTCTCCCAAAGTGCTGGGATTATAGGCTTGAGCCGCCCGGCCCTCATTTTTGTATTTTTAATAGAGATGGGATTTCACCATGTTGGCCAGGATGGTCTTGATCTCTTGACCTTGTGATCCACCTGCCTGTGCCTCCCAAAGTGCTGGGATGCCAAGCATGAGCCACTGCGCCAGCCTCATAGCCTTGTTCTAGGTGCTGCCATGAGCCTACTCATTTACTCTTCTCAATGACTCTATGAAGAAGGTACGATTATTGTCTCTGGTTCAGAGATGAACAAACTGAGGTCAACAGATGCCTGGGGGCTCACCCTGATCCCCTCACTGGGCTGGTGCACTCACCCCCAGCTGCTAGGAGTAAGATCTGGGAGGTTAGGTGACCCCTCGCCAACCTCTTGGAAGTGACCCACAGCCAGTGACCAACTCATGGGCATGCACAGAGGCTAGTCCCCTCCTTCAAGGGAGCATGATTCTGTGGTTCAGTTTATGCTCCACATCCTCCCACAGATTAGGCTGAGCCTGGACTTCACCTGAGACCACATCCTTGTTTAACTTTTTCCTCCTTCCTTTTAAAATTTAATTTATTTTACTTTTTTTCTAGAGGTGGGATCTCACTATATTACCCAGGTTGGTCTTGAACTCCTGGCCTCAAGAGATCTGCCCTCCTCCACCTCCCAAAGTGCTGGGATTACAGAGGTTAGCCACACCATGCCCAGCCTTTCCTCCTTCCTTTTATTTTTCTATTTTCTCCTTTTCCTACACATTCCAAATCCTCCTTCCTTATCCCACTTTCCCTGCAGACTTTTCCTAACGAAATCCTCTCAATGTTTTGTGAGCCCTTCAATATATCCCTGCCTCAGGCTCTGCCTCCAGGAAACTGAACTTAAGACACTAAGGCACAGAAAACTGTGCAGCAGCCAACCAGCAAGTGGCTGGGCAGGATTCGAACCCTGGAAGCCTGTGCTCCCAACACACCACTGCCCCTCGGAGCAGGGGCCTGGCTGGGTGGACAGGTTGAAGGCAGGTGGCTCTCACCGGTAGTTGCAGGGCTCAGCTCCGAAGAGGCAGGCCAGGATCATCTGCTCGCCGGGATAGCTCATCTCCACCAGCTCCTGCTGCGGCACCTGTGCAAAGATGTTGGTGGCCTGCAGGATGTACCACTCTGTCACTGCCTGGGTGGCGCTGGTGAAGTTCCGGAAGGTGCACTGGGTCCCGTTGAGGCTACACTGTGGAGGCCAAGAGGGGTTGTTGTGGGTGGTGTGGGAGCTGCTGGCAGGACCCCAGCCACTGCTTGACGGCCCTAGCAGGGCAAGGGCGGTGCTCTGCCAGCCGCCCTTCTGGCTGCAACTTGGTGGTGGGAAGTTCACACTCACGCTCATGCATGCTCAAGGGCTGTGCGCCTCATACACAGCTGTGTGCCGGTCACAAGATCCCCTCATTAGGCTGGTGCACCCACCCCCAGCTGCTGGTGGTGAGGCCTGGGAGGTTAGGAGACCCCTCATCAACCTCTTGAAAGTGACCCACAGCCCGTGACCAACTCACAGGCATGCACAGAGGCTGGTCCCCTCTTTCAAGGAAGGGCGGCTCAGTGGTTCACTTTACAGCCACCAGCCTCACCCCCACATGTACCATTATGCATGAGCAAAAACACACACGTGGTCATGTGTGCAGAGGCATGCACAGAAGACGCCCTGTCTCTGACATCCACAGCCTCATGTCACTGTAACACACGTCCATCCAACCCCGAACCCCATATACACAGATTCACACAAGTGGCTGCAACACCCATGCTCACGTGGACACACACACACACACACACACACACACACACACACACACACACACACACAGCGTTCTGATTCCTTTTCCAGACTCTCCCCGAGACTTTCAGATGCAGCTCCCCTGGAGGCCATGGAGACCAAGAAGAAACTCAACACACAGGAAACACTGCCTCCCGTGTGTTCTGGGAAAGACACAGACCCAGTCACTTGAGCCCAGCACGGGGTGCAGGGCCACCTTCCACCCGGTCACAGCCGGCTTCTCATGACATCCAAGTCACCACGCAGACTTGGCCCTGGGACTCTGGCCTTGGCCACGAGACTGCTGCTGGTTCTCCCTGCTGGAACCCAGGAGACCGGACAGAGAAGCTTCCCCTGGCATTCTTACACCACACTTCCCAACACACCCGGCCAGCCCATTCCTGGGGGCCTCCCTGCCTCCCCTGGGGGAGCTAATGGCAGTCCTTAATCCTCACTCTGTTCCAGGCTCTGTTCCCAGGGCCTTACATTTATAACCCCATTCAATCTTCACAGCAACACTAGGAAGTAAGTATTATTGTTATGCCCACCATCATGAAGAAATTGAGGCCCAGCAGGTTAAGGAAGGTGTGTCCATGGCAGTTTCCCAATATGACACTGGCTAGTTTGTGTGGAGAGGTGGGGGGCAAAGCAGTTGTGGAAGTCATGATGCCATGAGTGTGAGCAGCAAGGCAGTGGCACCCCCTCTGGGGAGTGTATGGTCCCCTCCTGGATCCCCATCCAAGACGGATCATCAGAATCACCCGGGAGCCTTTTGTCAATACAGATTCCCAGGCCTGGGCCCAGAGCTGCTCACTCAGATTCTGCAGGAATGGGGCCTAGGGATGTGTATTGTGACAGAGCTCCCAAGGGATTGATCCTGAGACAGAGACGGGGGACCTTCTCCTCACTTCTAGGCTTAAGAGCTAATGGCATCCCAGCCTCCCTGTGCAGGGCAGCTGTTTCTTGGCATCTGACTGTACTGTAAAGCTGTGGCCTTTCCCCTGCCCAATATTTATGCCCCTATCTTTTGATAACAAGACTTCCCCCTTGCTCAGCCCATGTGGTCTCACAGAGGTTGACATGACTCCCAATTCCAGGGCAAATGACCCAGGACTGGCCAATCATGAGAGCCTATGCTGTGGCCCACATAATTGGTTTGGGGTGAGCATGTGACCTAACAAGTCCTCTCAGGGATCTTTGCTGGGACTATAGGGAAAGAGCTCTTTTTCTGGGGTGACTGCTAAGCAAGGGCACGGAGGGGACCCTCCATATGGAGAGATCTTACCTGAGAGTGAAGTTATTCGAGAGAAAATTTGACCCAAGATGGAGAAAGATTCCTAATGACCTCATTAGAATACCTGGATCCAGCCTTGCCTGAATGCAGTGTATGTCTGGACTTCTTAGTTATGTGAGCCAATGAATTCCCTGTTTTGCTTGAGCTAGTTTGAGCTGGATCACTTATACCAAAAGAGTCTTGACTAACATGCCAGCAATTTCTATATTTTAAAAAGCTCTGCAAACAAGCAAAACAGACTCTGGCTTCCATCTTGTCTTTCCTCCAGCAAGACTCAAGTAATTACAGAAAAGAAACACCCATCAGCCTCACTGAGTGGGGCCCATTGCTTGGCATGTGCCCAGGGACCACTTACTAGTCTCATGGCCATTTTGCACCCCTGGGCATTACAGATCTTTTCTGATGCTGAGCTGTTTGACGAGCCATTGTGTCTATCTCCAAAGAGGTCAAGGACCACGGGGTGGTGGTGGTTCCGCTCATCAATAAGGACCAGTGGTGTGTGGTTCCAGATGGAGGAGTTCAGGGCCCTGGTGGCATTGGCATGGCCCAGCTCAGGAGCTAGGATGCTCTCCAGGACAGCTTCCATCAGCTCATCCAGGTCCTTCAGCAAATGCTTGACTTTGGAATACCTGGATGGGGAGAGGGCTGGTTAGGGGGAGGGATGAACATCTGTAAAGCAGAGCTGCAGAGATCTGGGACCCACTCTGCAGCAGTCTGTTTTCACATTGCTGTACAGATACTACCCGAGACTGGGTGATTTATAAACAGAAAAGGTATAATTGACTCACAGTTCCGCACGGCCGGAGAGAGGTCTCAGGAAACTTACAGTCATGGCAGAAGTTGAAGGGGAAGCAAGGCACATCTTACATGGCGGCAGGAGATGGGAGGAGGGAGAGGGAGAGAGAGAGAGAGAGAGAGAGAGAGAGAGCGAGAGAGAGAGAGAGCGCAGGCACAGGGGAGTCTGCCACTTTTAAACCATCAGATTTTGTGAGAATTCACTCACTATTATCAGAACAGCATGGGGGAAGCTGCCCCTATGATCCAATCACCTCCCACTGGGTCCCTCCCTCGACACATGGGGGTTACAATTCGAGAATGAGATTTGGGTGGGGACACTGAGTCAAACCATATCACACTCTTACTCCAGCATGGCTGCCACTATGTGTAAGAACACCCCACCTAAGCACCCACACATGCATCCACGTGTCCTTTCACCACCCATGCAGTCATTCATTCACCAATTTTTAATGAGCACCTACCATGTGCCAGGCATTGTGCAGGGCACAGATGATACAGTAGCAAACAAGAGGGACCTGGTCTCTTTCCTTATGAATTCATATTTGAGTGAGGAAGAATTGTAATGGCTTGTGGTTACTGATAACTTACCACGTGCCAGGTGCTAGGTGCTTTCCAGGTCTCATTTACTCTTTGCCACAATTCTGTTACCATCCCCACATATAGATCAGGAAACTGAGGCTCCAGGAATTGGTATGATTTTGCAAGCTCACTCCACTGATAAGGGGCAGACTGAGCTTAGAATCCGGGTTTGGTGGGTTCCAGTGGGTATGGGGGTTCTGAGATCTACCTCCCAGGAGGGAGCAACTTTGGGAATAAGAGCCAGTTTCAGGAGACAGAAAATGATGGGACTGTGAGGCTGGCTCCAATGTCTTCCCTCAACCCTGAGGAGCTCCCATGTTGGAAATGGTGACCAGTGAGAGATGGATCTATCAAGGAGTATCTCCACCAGAGTCCATGGGGGCCCAGGCCCTGCACCCCAGTCACTTCATACCCAATTTACTGAAGACCCTGCCTCAGTGTCAGGTCATTGGGGCTGCAAGTGCCATCTCTGGCTGGAGGACTTCCTGCAGGAGCATTAAATTCTGGACAGAGGCCAAGGTCCCGGTACAAAGGTGTACAGCAGCCGGAGCCAACATTGGCCTTTGATGCCAGTTCCCAGTCCATTAAACCTGTGTACACAGGAAGAGGAGGATCGGGAAGGGTGGCATCTGTGTAGATGGCAGTGTTATTACAGCCTAGATGTCCATAGCTGCTGGGAAGCTTGGTGGGTCACTTCGTGAGCTCTGGGTTTGAATCCTGGCATGGCACTTAATATCTTGGGCAATTTAACTTCTCTGAGGTTCTGTTCTCTCATCCACAAAACAGGGGGATAAAAATAAGTACCCCAGAGAATCTTTGGGAAGATTCAGTGAGGTGCTGCTTATAAAGTGCATAGATCAGTGCCAAGATGGAGTGCTGTCATTCCTGTTATTATTAAAGGCTCTCTTGAGCCACTCTGAGAACACACCAAAGCAGGAATAGCCCTATTAATAGAAAGAAGGAACATTCTAACAATTGGGAAAGTAATCACTGCATATGAATTCTCTTCCAGGACGTTCTTTCCTTTTAAAAACAGAGATGCTGTCTCATCATGTTGGCCAGCTGGTTTCAAACTCCTGGCTTCAAGTGATCCTCAAACTTCAGCCTCCCAATGCACTCTGATTTCAGGCGTGAGCCACTGTGCCTGTGCCTGGTCAGGACTTCCTCTTTGTTTTTTTTTTCTTTTCTTTTTTTTTTTGAGATAGAGTCTTGCTCTTTCACCCAGGCTGGAGTGCAGTGGCAAGATCTTGGCTTATTGCAACCTCCGTCTCTCGGGTTCAAGCGATTCTCCTGCCTCAGCCTCCCAAGTAGCTGGGATTACAGGCATGTGCCAGCACACCCAGCTAATTTTTGTATTTTCAGTAAAGACGGGGTTTCACCATGTTGGGCAGGCTGGTCTCGAACCTCTGACCTCGGGTGATCTGCCTGCCTTGGCCTCCCAGAGTGCTGGGATTACAGTCGTAAGCCACTGTGCCAGGTCAGGACTTTCTTTTTCATAAGAATGTTTTCTGTGACTCAGCCCTTCTTTCAATTCCTTGAATGCACCAAGCTTCTCACCAGCTGCACCTGCTACATCCACCACTGGGGGCACTCTCTCACTCCACCTGGCCAACTTCTATCATTCATTAGGGCACTTAAAAAAAAAAAAAGTTTTTGGATTGACTCTGTCTCTCCGCAACCCTAACTAGGTTGGTTCTCCTCATGTGTCCCCTTCACAGGCCTTGCCATCAAGCAGAGAAAGGGCAACCTGGAAGAATGGTTAAAAAGTAGCAGAGTTCATGTCCTTTGCAGGGACACGGATGAAGCTGGAAGCCATCATTCTCAGCAAACTGACGCAAGAACAGAAAACCAAACACAGCATTTTCTCACTCATAAGTGGGTGTTGAACAATGAGAACACGTGGACAAAGGAGGGGAACATCACACACCAGGGCCTGTTGGCGGGGATGGGGGCTAGGGGAGGGGTGGCAGGGGGTGGTGAGCTAGGAGAGGGATAGCATTAGGAGAAATACCTAATGTAGATAACGGGGTGATGGATGCAGCAAACCACCATAGCACGTATATACCTATGTCAACAAACCTGCACTTTCTGCACGTCTACCCCAGAACTTAAAAGTATAATAATAATGATGATAATAATAATAAAAGTAGCAGCTCTGGAATCACGTTGGGCCTGGGTTCAAATCCCACAGTGGTCCACTGTGTGTCTCCAGGTGAGCTCACTTACTCCTCTGAACCTCCATCTCCTCACCTGTAAACAGGGCTGTGACAGTAGTTCCCATCCCTAGGGTGGTTGTGTGGATTAGAATGACATCAATTACCAAAGAACACTGAACACAATGCCTGGCATGTCATAAGCATTTGTTGAGAGTTGTTTTATTAATTAATTAATTAATTAATTAATTTTTTTTTTTTTGAGAAAAGGTCTCGTTCTGTTACCCAGGCTGGAGTGCAGTGGTACGATTTCTCAGCTCACTACAATCTCTGCCTCTTGGGGTCAAGCAATTCTCCTGCCTCAGCCTCCTAAGTAGCTGAGATTACAGGCATTGCCTGCATTTTTAGTAGAGACGAGGCTTCACATGTTGCCCAGGCTGGTCTCAAACTCCTGACCTCAAGAGATCCGCCCACCTCAGCCTCCCAAAGTGCTGGGATTACAGGTGTGACCCACGGTGCCCCGCCAAGTCGTTTTATTTTTTTTTATCATCATAATGATAATGAATTCGGTATTTGTGGGGACAACTTTGTTGGGCCTGTTTTCTCTGTAGGCTTTGAAGAGGACAGGGACTCTGTTTTGTTCACTGCTGTATTTGTGGTGCTTTGAACACTGCCTGGCACATAATAGGTGCTCCATAAACATGTGTGGAATCCATAAATAGGCATTTACCTGCCTAAAGACAGGGGCTGCCCAAGGTTCTCTGTAAGCCTAGGAAATGCATGATTTTTTTATTTTTAAGAGACAAGATCTGGCTCTGTTGCCCAGGCTGGAGTGCAGTGGCATCTTCTTGTTTTTATTTTATTATTATTATTATTATTGACATGGAGTTCTGCTTTTGTTGCCCAGGCTGCCATACAGTGATGTGATCTTGGCTCACCGCAATCTCCACCTCCCAGGTTCAAGCGATTCTCCTGCCTCAAGCTCCGGAGTAGCTGGGATTACAGGCATGCACCGCCACCCCTGGCTAATTATTCTGTATTTTTAGTAGAGATGGGGCTTCTCCATGTTGGTCAGGCTGGTCCTGAACTCCTGATCTCAGGTGATCAGTCCGCCTCAGCCTCCCAAAGTGCTGGGATTACAGGTGTGAGCCACCACTCCTGGCCTGTTTTTATTTTCAATTAATTATATTTTCTTAGCTTTGACTTGAAACTCAAGCGGTGCCTCCTCAGCCCACTGCAGCCTTGATCTCCTGAGCTCAGGCAATCCTCCCACCTCAGCCTCCTAAGCAGCTCAGACCACAGACATGCATCACCACATCTGGCTAATTTAAAATATGTATAAACATATATATATATATATATATATATATTTATAAGTGGCATCTTGCTGTGTTGCCCAGGCTGGTCTGCAACTCCTGGCCTCAAGGGATCCTCCTGTCTTGGCCTCTCAAAGTGCTGTTATTACAGGCATAAGCCACCACACCTGGCCAAAAGTTTATGAAGTTTGAATCTTAGTTGCTGCAAAAGGATGAAAACAAATGGAAAGAAAGAGAGGAGAAGAAAGAGAAAGAAGGAAGGAAAAAGGAAAGGAAAAGAAGGGAAGTAAAAGGAAGGAAGGAAAAGTAACAAAGAGAAAGGAAGGAAGCGGAGAAAGAGAAGGAGAGAAAGAAGAAAGGAAAGGAAGGAAAGGAAAGTTGGAAGGGAAGAAAAGAGAGAAAGAGAACAGCCTGTGTGCTGAGGCCAGCTGTGTACTCAGGGAGCACCTACTTGAAGGGACTGGCATTGCAGATGGTGACGGCAGGGAAGTCCATGGTCTTGAAGCCTACGGAGAGGGACACACTGACCTCCCAGCTCAGGTAAGTCTTGATGAAGATGCTCCACTGCCAGCAGACGAGGGCGGCAAAGAGCAGGGTGATCAGGAACCACACGGCCTTCTTCTTGGGCCCCTCGCAGATGATGCGCTTGGGGCCGTGAGTGTTAGTGTTGTCACAGTACCACACCAGCAGCTCCTTGTACGTGTAGCCAGGGCCCTTCTGCAGCCGGTGCAGGCACTTCAGCAGGTATTTCTTCACATGCATGGTGGTACCTGCAGAGAGACGCGGGGATGCACATCAGTTGGGACACCAACCTTGCCTGCAAGGATGTCCCAGTCACATCCAGGAACTGGGTGGCACGTCCCAGTCCTTTCTCCCTCTTGACCTTCCTTCTTCCCTCCCTCCCTTTTTTCCTTCTTTTCTTCCTTCCTTTGGCTATCCATCATCAATCCATCCATTCATCTAATCAACCAAAACGCATTTAGAGAGTGCCTACTGTATGCCAGGCACTCAAATGGTAACTTCTGGACTCATTGAGAAAAATGGACAAGGTTTTTTGGCCTTTGGGAATTTATAACCTAGTGAACAAGTGACTTAAACTCTCAGTTCGGGTTCTCTGTGCATAACATGTGGTGTAGCAAGTCCTCAAACAACATCATTTTGTTCAATGTTTTATTGTAATGTTGATGAGAAAAGAAAGTAGATTCCCAGCCAGGGCCGCTGTCTATATGGAGTTTGCATGTCCTCCCATGGTGTGTCTGCATGGTCCCAGGTGAGTGAATGTGACTGTGTGGATGCTCTGCAATGAAATGTGGTCTGTACGGGGTGGGTTCCTACCTTGTGCCCTGAGCTGTGGAGATAGGCTCTGACCACTGTGACCTTGAACTGAATAAGTGGGTAAATAATGATCTTACTTGTTTTTATTAATCTTTCTTTTTCTTTTTTGAGATAGGGTCTCACTCTGTTACCCAGGCTGGAGTGCAGTGGTGCAATCACGGCTCACTGCAATCTCTACCTTCTAGACTCAAGTGATCCTCCCAGCTCAGCCTCCTAAGTAGCTGGGATTACAGGCAGGCACAACCATACTGGTGATTTTTTTTTTTTTTTTTTTTTTTTGGAGACAGAGTCTCTGTCTCAAAGCTGCACTCCAGGCTGGTCTACTTTTTGTAGAGATGGGGTTTCTCCATGTTGCCCAGGCTGGTCTCAAACTCCTGACCTCAAGGGATCCACCCACCTCAGCATCCCAAAGTGCTGGCATTACAGGCGTGAGCCACTGCGCCTGATCTTAATCTTCCTTAAATGTATGTGTAGCTCATATTTATTTTAATGTTTAATATTTGAAGCATTTTGGTCTTTATTTAAAAATTTGGTAACTTTTTTTGTGACCAGAAATAGACTGTAGGAGCTTAACTCTTGTAGACATCAATTAGCCTATGGTGAAATTGATTTCATTATACATCATTTCGCCTAGAGTTGCAGTTTCCAAGAACATATCAACGATGTTAAGTGAAGACTTACTGTAATAATTACATCTAACCTATAGGATTGCTGAGAGGGTAAAATTCGGTGATGCACAGGAAGTGCTATATACTGAGCCTAGCACAGGTCAAATCCTCGGTAAACCAGTTACCAGTGTCACTGGCTGTCAGTGGGTAAGACAGGTGTTAAACAAAGAATCCATCAAAAACGCAGAGCTATGAAACATGATAGGAAAGATTGGGACTCCATGCCCTGAGACGCTAGAGGCACTAAAGGGTGTTGGTTTAGAATAAGGACTCTGTAACCAAATTGTCTGGCTTTCTGTTTGTTTGAGACAGGGTCTCACTCTATCACCCAGGCTGGAGTGCAGTGGCATGATCATGGTTCACTGCAGCCTTGAACTCCTGGCAAATGGCTGGCTTTGACGCTCCGCACTGCCGCTTTCTAGTTGTGTGACTTTGAGCAAATCTCAGTTCTTCAGTTTCCTTATCTATAAAATGAGGATAGTTACAGCTTCCGCCTGATAAGGGTGTTGTGGAGGCTGGCTGCATGAAAATACGGAGAGGGCGGATTCCTGCCTGGCACCTAAGTGTCAGCAATTGTTATTAGAAAACGGAGGCTTGACTAGGTCTGGGAGTCCTTGGAGAAGTGATGGAGGAGCTGAGGTGAAAGGATAGGAGAGGAGAGGGGAAGGGGGAAGGCTGAAGTGGGGAGGGAGCCTGCAGGGGTGAGCAGGGCCAGGCCACACAAGGGCTTGTGGATCGTGTTAAGGATTAGGGTTTCAATCCCAAGAGCACCTTAGCCACCTGAGTAGCTGGGACTACAGGTGTTTGCCACCATACCCAGCTAATTTTTGTATTTTCAGTAGAGACAGGGTTTCGTCATGTTGCTCAGGCAGGTGTCGAACTCCTGGCCTCAAGTGATCCACCTGCCTCAGCTTCCCAAAGTGCTGGGATTACAGGCATGAGCCACTGTGCCCATCTTCAACTCTATTCTCTGATAGGAATTAAACTCTATGTGCCTGCCCAGGCCATCACGGCTGTAAGAGAATGTTCACAGACTAACTCCACTCCTAACTTTCCCCAGAAGGTCCATTCCCTGCTCTGAAATAATAAAATAATAACAGTTAGTGTAATAGCAACCACAAGAGCAACATCAAAGTACTAAATGTTTGCCGTGACCCAGGCATATGGGTCTTGTATAGTCTAGCACCCCAAAACCACATAGGTGAACAACACATTAGGTTCCAGGAGGTTGTTGTAGAAGAAATAAAGGGGCCTTAGAGTGTCTACCCTTTTCTATTCTCATGTAATCATTCTGATTTAGTTAAGGAGAACGTCTCAACATGGCACCAATGGGTCTTTAACACCCCTCCAGCCCTTGTTCATCTCCAGGTTTAACAATGAGGCCTCAGGCTCAGAATCAGGTCAGACTATAGTATCTAGTTAGAATGGGCAACATTGTATTCACCGGGCTCATTTTTAAGAGCCACCTTCTATTCTACTTATAGCAACAGCTACTGACTTTTGCTTTATGTTCATAAATGCGCTTTAAGTAAAAAAAAGGAAATCGATTTAAAGAAAAATGTTTAAGTAAACAACAATATTACATGTAGCAAAAGTTGTTACCATGGTAGGCAAATTGTAACTGCGTTGTAAATGTGTTGAGTATTGGCTGAGCCTCTAACAAGTTTGGCCCCTTGGGTCATTAGCCAAATAAAACTCGCTAAGGCTGCAAACAACTTTATGATGTTCTGGTCAGATTCCACCCCCAAGGTGATAGATGGTCTGTGTTTGGAATGTATACACACTTTACGGAGAAGGGATTGAATCAGTGTACACCTTAACCCAATCCAAACAAGTAAAGTAGAGATTGAGTTCATGTGTGCAGACAGAAAGAGACACCAATTGTCATGCTCCAGAGAGTCACAGATTGCTGACTAGACATTGGCCCTGAATGTTCCTGATAGCAAATGCAAAAACAATAAATGTGGACAACTGTTTCGGTTTTCTTATGAGACAAAACATCTGCTCACTCTCAATGGCAATTTTTTTCCCCGAGATTTGGCTTACGTAGCCCAGAGTCCTTGTGGATAATAGGGAGCCCAGCCCTGTGTGTGCCTCTACTTACTGTTTTGACAAAAGACACATAAATCCTATTGGGTTTGCAAAACTTCTTTGTTCTTAGCACAGTATTGCATTTTTTTTTTTTTTTTTGAGACAGAGTCTTGCTCTGTGGCCCAGGCTGGAGTGCAGTGGCATGATCTCGGCTCACTGCAACCTCTGTCTCCTGGGTTCAAGTGATTCTCCTACTAAAGTCTCCCAGGTAGCTGGGATTATAGGCGCAAGCCACTGCACCGAGCTAATTTTGTATCTTTAGTATAGACAGGTTTCACCATGTTGGCCAGACTGGTCTTGAACTCCTGACCTCATGTGATCCGCCCACCTCTACCTCCCAAAATGCTGGGATTACAGTTGTGAGCCACCATGCCTGGTGCAGCATTTTGTTTGCCCAGGCTGGAGTGCTGTGGTGAGATCATGGTTCCCTGCAACCTTGACTTCCCACACTCAAGCAATCCCCACACCTTGGCCTCATGAGTAGCTGGGACTAAGGGCACATCACCACGCCCAGCTAATTTATTTTATTTGATTTTTTGTAGAAACCAGGGTGGTGGGCGTGGGGGAGGGGTGGTCTCACTATGTTGTCTAGGCTGGTCTCAAACTCCTGGGCTCAAGCAATCCTCCTGCCTCAGCCTCTCAAAGTGTTGGGATTACAGGTGTGAGCCACCACACTCAGCACAATTCCTCCTTTTAAAGATCAGCTTCAGTGAGATATAGTTCACATATCACAAAATTCACCCATCCATTTAAAGTGTAGAATTCACTGGATTTCAGTATATTCACATTGTTCAACCATCATCACAATCAATCTTAAAACATCTTTATTTCCCCTGAAAACTCCATGCCCATTGGGAGTTATTTCTCATTTCTCTCTCCACCCTTCTTCTCCCCATCAGAAACCATTAATCTATTCTCTGTCTCTCTAGATTTGCCTATTTTGGAAGCTTCATTCAAACCAAGCTTTTCCATCCTGCAGCCCGCAGGCCATAGGCAGCCCAGGATGGCTTTGAATGCGGCCCAAAACAAATTCATAAACTTTCCTAAAACATTATGAGATTTTTTTTTCTTAGCTCATCAGCTATTGTTAGTGTTACTGCATTTTATATGTGACCCAAGATAATTATTCTTCTGCCAATGTGGTCCAGGAAGCCAAAAATTTGGACACCCCCGATAAAAACAGAATTGCAGGCTGGGCACAGTGGCTCATGCCTGTAATTCCAGCAATTTGGGAGCCTTAGGTGGGTGAATCACTTGAGGTTAAGAGTTAAAGCCCAGGCTGGCCAACATGGTGACACCCTGTCTCTACTAAAAATACTAAATTAGCTGGGTGTGGTGGCAGGCACCTGTAATCCCTGCTACTCGAGAGGCTGAGGCAGGAGAATTGCTTGAGCCTGGGAGGTGGAGGTTGCAGTGAGCAGAGATCATGCCACTTCACTCCAGCCTGGGTGACAAGAGTGAAGCTCCATCTCAAAAAACGAACAAACAAAAAATGAAATTGCACAATATGTGATCTTTTCTGACTAGCTTCTTTCACTTAGTGTGTTTGCAAGGTTCATTCATGTTGTAGCATGTATTAGTGCTTCATTTCTTTCTATTGCTAAATAATATCCCATGTTACATTGAGACTATATTTTTTTTATCCATTCATCAGTTGATGGACAGTTGAGTTGTTT